TAAAAAAATCTGAAGCAACTATAACTATTGAAATGTGATAAAGCTGGGTGGTGATTATTCTGTGTTTATTATTTTGTTCTCTACACTTTTGTTTGAAACACTTGAAATCATTAAAAGATATAAGTAGTTACTGTGGTAGAAAAGACATAACATGAATGTGGTTGGAGTACAGTAATTACTGTGAAAATAAGCAAGGCTCACGGACTTCTTCATTTTAAAAATCTCATTGAAAAATGCAGGAACACACACACAGACACGCACAGACACACACATGCACACACACACAACTGTGAGGACTGTGAAGATGTATATATAGAGTGAATGGTAATGAAAAAATTCAACAAGGAAACATTTCACTGAAATTAGCTAATACGTATTTATGTTATATATTTATTAACAGTTGGAATAAAAGGATACTAATTTTCAAATTTTCAGAGTTTATTTATAAAGAAAAATACAGAATGATTTTAACAGATAAAGTACCCAATTTCTACTTATTTTCTTTCTTAGTGGGGGGGGGGAGCATATAAAACAACATTGTCGTGGCCTGTTTTGACAAAAACTATAAAAATTTAAGCTTTAGAATGAAGTAATTGTTGCCACCAGGCATGTATATGTACATCAGTATAAATTAAATTCAGTCTATATCCATACAACCCTTTTTCACCCTTTTGCATTATCGTTCGGCTTTCCTTACCCCTTCCGTTCTGCATCATTAGTGCCGCAGAGCACCTATACTCTCAAGTCCTCTGCTTTCCTATCCCTATGTGAATGTACAGAGGTGCACTTGAAAACACGAGATTCTAAGCAGGGGGGATACCTGGCACATGCTCTCAACTCCTACCAAAGAGAGGGGAGGCTGGATGTCCTCCTAGCCTCCATTCACTCCTCCTTTACTTTTATTCCCATTAGGCCTACTTGGCATCCTTGCTAAGATTCATAGGAGAGCAGGATTCTGCACTAAGATGAAGAACCAGGAAATCAGTCTGGGCACTTCCCTGCCCCCCGGTGGTGCACCGGGAACACAAGCAGGCCAGAGCGGTCTGACCCTCTGCAGGATGGGGCACTAAATTCACAGCCAAATGAAAGAAGGGGAGATAGACAAGCAGTGATTCTGTGCACTAGAACAGACTGGGTATTTGCTGCAGGTACTGTCTCTGTGTCTCTGACCTGTCAGCAGTACGAGGTCTAGTGAGGATCTTCAGGTAAGTGCCCTCATGATCAGTGGGCCCACAGGAGCCTTGGGGAGGTTGGGAAACAGCACATCCCACAGGTGAAAATCTTAACTGGGCCACACTGGTTTTTTTTTTTAATTGCAAAAATAGTAACATTATAGAAAATGCTTATAATAGGAATAAGAAATCATAGAAACTTACTGCTGCAACAGTGTTTTCATGGCCTCCTCCTTTATTGACTTCATTGAGACTTACAACCTAAGTGTCTGATCTTTTTATTTAACATTATCCCAAACAGTAACAATGTTAGTTATGATTAAGAAGAAAGCAGGGCATTTGAAGTGAGGAGCGTTTGTACAGGGTCTTTGCCTGGGACCACCCCACAAGCTTCTCTGGGTAATGGAGGTAAGGGGGCTCCTTTGGTAGGGCAGATGGTAGAGGCTTAACCTATATCTCTCTAGGCCAGAGCCCTGGGCTTGGCTAATCTGGTCTGTGTGAAAACCCTGTCCCCAAAAGGATTCTGCTGATAAACGGTACCCACCTTGTTCCTGTAAAAACAATACAAGAAAGCAGGGCTGGTGTACCTCCAACCAGGTCTCCAAGGGGGCATGATAAAGGGAATGAAAGATGCCATTTAAGGACCAATTTTACTCAGACCACTTCTCAGCCCGCCTTTCCCAAGTTTCTGTATCCACCTGAATGGAAACTTTCTAAAAGAAATGCCTCAGACTGCTCCATTGCCCTCTCAGCCTAGGACCAGGTAAAAGAATTAAATAACGATCAACAAAATCTTCATCCAGAACAGCTGCTGTCTACTATTGCCCCAGCCTCTGGGCTGCATCATTACCTCTGAACACGAAACCACCAAGGGGCAGTCTGGTCCAACAACGAGCCATTTCCTCCTAGGGAAAACTGGTTACATGTGCAAAGACCCTCTTCCAGAGCCACATGCCCACCTCCTGGCCCTCGGGGGCTTTCCTCTCCTGGTCTCAGCTGGGCCATCAATTCTTTGAGAAGATGCTATTGGGCTGCAAATGGGTAGGAGGCAGCAGGTGGAAACTGCTGGCATACTGGGGAGTTGGCCAGGGCCTCTGGGGACCAAGTCCTTCAAAGTCAACACCTACCACCATGTCAAGACCACAATATATGTTCAATAATATTTAAATAATGGTTGAACAAAATTAAATTAACAAGAAACCCATGATACTCTATGTAGAAAGCCCTAAGACTGCACCAAAAAATTGTTAAAACTAATACGTGAATTCAGCAAAGTCACAGGATATAAAATCAGCATAGCATACAGAAATCTGTTGTATTTCTTTTGAACACCAATAATGAAGCAGAAAAAGAAATCAAGGAATCAATCCCATTTACAATTGCACCAAAAACAGTAAGATACCTAGGAATAAACCTAATCAAAGAAGTAAAAGATCTGTACTCTGAAAACAATAGAATACTTGTGAAAGAAATTGAAGACCACACAAATAATTGGGAAAAAATCCCATGCTCATGGATTGGAAGAACAAACATTGTTAAACTGTCTATAGTACCCAAAGCAATCTACACATTTTGGCGCCTGGGTGGCGCAGTCGGTTAAGCGTCCGACTTCAGCCAGGTCACGATCTCGCGGTCCGGGAGTTCAAGCCCCACGTCAGGCTCTGGGCTGATGGCTCAGAGCCTGGAGCCTGTTTCCGATTCTGTGTCTCCCTCTCTCTCTGCCCCTCCCCCGTTCATGCTCTGTCTCTCTCTGTCCCAAAAATAAATAAACGTTGAAAAAAAAATTTAATGCAATCCCTATCAAAATACCACAGGCACTTTTCACAGAGCTAGAACAAACAACCCTCAAATTTGTATGGAATCACAAAAGACTCCAAATAGCCAAAGTGATCCTGAAAAACAATAGCAAAGCTGGAGACATCACAATTCCAGACTTCAAGCTATAATACAAAGCTGTAGTCATCAAGGCAGTATGGTACTGGCACAAAAACAGACACATGGATCAATGAAAGAGAATAGAAAGCCCAGAAATAGACCCACAACTGTATGGTAGTGTAATCTTTGACAAAGCAGGAAAGAATATCCACTGGAAAAAAAGACAAGTCTCTTCAACAAATGGTGTTGGGAAAACTGCACAGTGACATGCTGAAGAATGAAACTGGACCACTTTCTTACACCATACACAAAAATTAATTCAAAATGGATGAAAGACCCCAATGTGAGAGGTCAAAATCTTGAAGGAGAATGGAAAACACAGGTAGCAACCTCTTTGATCTCGGCCAGAGCAATTTCTTATTAGATGCATCTCAGGAGGCAAGGGAAACAAAAGCAAACATGAACACTGGGACCTCATCAAGATAAAAAGCTTCTGCACAGTGAAAGAAACAGTCAACAAAACTAAGAGTCAGCCTACAGAATGGGAGAAGCTATTTGCAAATGACATAGCTGATAAAGGGTTTGTATCCAAAATTTGTAAAGAACTTATCAAACTCAACACCCAAAAAACAAATAATCCAATTCAGAAATGCACAGAAAACATGAATAGATTTCTTTCCAAAGAAGACATCCAGATGGCTAACAGACACATGAGAAGATTCTCAGTATCACTCATCATGAGGGAAATAAAATCAAAACCATGATGAGATACCACCTCACACCTGTCAGAATGGCTAAAATTAGCAACACAGGAAACAACAAATGTTGGTGTGGATGCAGAGAAAGGGGAACCCTCTTACCCTGTTGGTGAGAATGCAAACTGGTGCGGCCACTGTGGAAAACAGTATGGAGGTTCCTCAAAAAGTTAAAAATAGAACTATCGTACAACCCAGCAATTACACTACTAGGTATTTACCCAAAGGATAAAAAATACAGATCCGAAGGGCTACATCCACCCCAATGTTTGTAGCAGCATTATCAACAATAGTCAAACTACAGAAAGAGCCCAAATGTCCACTGACTTATGAATGGATAAAGAAGAAGTGGTATATATACACAATGGAACACTACTCAGCCATCAAAAAGAATGAAATCTTGCCATTTGCAACAGTGTGCATGGAGCTAGAGTGTATTATGCTAAGTGAAATAAGTCAGTGAGAAAAAGACAAATATACGATTTCACTCATATATGGAATTTAAGAAACAAAACAGATGAATATGGGAAGGGGGAAGAAAGAGAGAGAGAACCAAACCATAATGGGTTGATGGAGGAAGGTAGGTGGGAGATGGGCTAAATGAGTGATGGGTACTAAGGAAGGCACTTGTGATGAGCACTGGGTGTTATATGTAAGTGATGATTCACTAAATTCTACTCCCAAAACCAATGTTACACTATATGTTAACTAACTAGAATTTATATAAAAAAATTGAAAAAGAAACAAAATAAAACAAAACAAAACAAAACAAAACAAAAAATAAGAAACAAGAAATCCATAGCAGAAGAAAAGCTCTAGGGGTGGGAAGTGTGTGAGTACGCATGGGGGAGAGCCCTTCCCTCTCCCAGAACTTCCTCAGGCTGCTAATATGCCTTCTTCCATACATGGAACCCTTGGAGGTCCAAGTGGCCTCGCACTTGGAGGGAAGTGAGCAGACTGAGGATGGGGGTATGTGTTTAGACTACGTGTCAGGGGTGGGAGAGGTGTCACACAAGTCATAGGCTGCACAGGGTTTCATTCCCAGCCCTCAACTTGTAAGATTCCTCCAGGGGCAGACACTGAGCCCAACCTGGCTGGGCCCTGATAAGCCCGAACACTCTCAGGAGCAGAAGGCCAGTGAAGGCAACTCACTACCCCAGAGCCATTCACATTTTTCTTACACAGGTAGTCCATGTTCATTATGGAAAAAAGCCACATCACTCTTTATTGGATGCTAGTGCCAACACTGGCCCCCTTCTCTCCATGCACAGGGGCACGTAGGCAAGGGGCTCTGTCCCCCGGCCGGGATGCAGTGGAAGCCTGGCCCCACTACCACTCTCCTAGGGCCAGCGCCCTCTTCAGTACCTGGGGCTGCTCAGGTTTGTTCAAACTCCTGTTCACAGTAGCCTATATTGAGGGGTTGGGCCTGGACACCTCGCCTGCAAGAGGATATGAAGAAACAGGGCGAGATGAGCCATTCAGACAGGAGTCAGTCTGAGGCCCCAGCAACACCTCCACCACAACCAACAGTCTCCCCCCACCCCCCGACTTCTCCTATTTCAGTGGATTTCAAACTGCCCCTGTACACCAGAATTGCTCAGGTATCTCTCATTTCCAGAGATTCTTGCTCGGACTGGGGTCATGTGTTGGCAAGAATCTGACAGGCGCTCCAGGTGATTTTGATACAGAGACATCCAGGAATTTGGGGGGACACATCCCTATTTCTAATCTGCTTATCTCTGTACCCGAGTCCCAAATAACTCAGTACTTTTAGAAAAGAGCTGATGCCTAAGGGGTGCCTAGTGTTCTTGGCCCACTGAGCCCACCTTTAATGGCTCAAATGCTCTAAATGCAGTGGCAATGGGGAACTAATGTGCTGTCCTGTCCCTGCAGAGGTGTGGACATGAAATCCTTTTTAGCCTCACCAATTCCAGGATGTGACCAATCTCCATAGAGGACCTCTGGGCATGCTTCCTTTATTATCCAAGTGAGCAACGTGCTTAGAGATGGTAAGAAACAGGCTAAAAGTTGCCCAGTGAATTACAGATAGTTGAAGCCTAGACCTTGCCATGGCTCGCTCTCAGCTCAGCACTAGGCTGTATCCACCAAGTCCTCAAGACTTAGTCAATAAATAAAACAGGGAAATGACCACCTTACTCAGGCCCATCCCCAACATTGGCACAGGTGTCACAGGAGTCCATAAAGGCATAACCATGGCTAAACACATAGACTTTGAAGTTGGCTTGGATCAAATCCTGGTTCTGAGTGATTTTGGACTGGTTACTTAACTTCTCTGTGCCTCACTGCCTATCTCTAAAGTGGGAATAAAACTACCTACTTTACAGAGTTGTGGTTAAGATTCAATGAGATAATGCCCATAGAGAGCTGAGAACAGTGCCTGCTACACAGTAACCCTCTGTCAGCATTAGCTATGATTAGTATTCTTTTCCTGTCAGTAAGCCCCCACTTTATGTTGGGGAAGGCCCCAACATGGCCTGCTTGCTTACCTTAGCAGCTCACAGCGGAACCGTGTCAGACGTTTAAAGGCCAAGTCCAGGTTAGTCACCGACTTGTTGCTCCACAGCCTCTCAGCAACGGCTGCTGCTCTGGGCCTGGAGGGAACGGTTGTGTACCAGGTTGGCTCCCGCATTCTCTGCAAAGGTTCTGGACACCCACAGGCTACTCTCTCTTATTTAGGCACCCTAGACTCATGGTCAAGGTTATTCAGAGCAACAACCTGGCTGGAGGGCTCCTAGGGACTTCTAGGGCTCAGCTCCATCGTCATTAAGGTACACAACATCGATCCCACTCTCCTCCTCTCCCAAAGATATGGTACCAGAGTAAGTTGTAAAGGCATCACGAACTGTTATTGACGGGAGCAACAGGTGTTCTCAGAATGTACAATCTGCATACCCAGCCAGGCCTGGTCAAGCTGCTAGGAAAACAGCATTAAGGAAGTCTTATCACAGGAATCATGAACTTAAGTGCTGGGTCCCAAGCAAGTCATCTGTGCTTTCCAGGCCTCACTGTCTCTATCTGTGAAGTGAGGATAACAAAACTTATCCTGTGTGGAAGTTACGTAGGTGAGTATAATGTACAAACAGAAGGATCACTCCAATGCTCCTTCTCTCAGGCCTTCTCTCAGGAGGTACTTGCTGGGGGTGACTGAACAGGAATGAGTCTATAAAGAAGAACCCATGCCCACAAGCCCAGCACCCACGTCCTCAGGAAACCCTTACCATAGTCTGGGGACCAGATTTGTGCTGTCCACATACTCTCCCCACATACAGGCCTCTCCACCAATCACTAGAGCCTTCTGCTGAGCGCCACCTGAGAAAACAAGCAACAACAGGCTGCTGGGAACAAGGGGAGTAACCCTAGGGTTTCTACCACCTTCCCAATGTAGCCCTCTCTTCAAACAGCTCATCTCATCTAACCTGAAAGGTCTAGCCCAGACCCTCCTGTCTCCCGCTCTGTGCACCAGCCTGATCTGGTCAGCAAGGAGAGCTCCCTGCTTTCACCTTCAAATTCCAGGGGCTCCACCACGTAGAGATCTCTCCAGTCAGGGCCATAAGTTATGTGATTCAGGTACCAGGGGGCAGAGAGCAGGGCACGCAAGCCGGCTCTGGTAATTAGCTCCAGCTCCTTCAAATAATTTACTGGTACCTCTTCTCGCCATACCTGGATGATTGTATCTGGAGGAACCTGTCACAAAAGGTCAAATGGCAGTGATGGCACATAGCTGAGGAGATTTCTGGCCCACATTCTTATGCAAGCAAACCAGGCCAAGGGGTATGTGGCCACTCTGTTCCCAAGCAGCAAAGTATTTCTCCATGATTCCTAACTATTGAGTTCCCAGCCCAGTGCAGAAGCCAGGGATTCTATTGGTCCTAGGAGTCCTTCCAGCTGCTTCCTCTTTCAGTCCTCCTACAGCCTCCTTGTCCACAATGAGATAGTAATACTGGCTGTAAGCTAAGGGAGGCAAGCAGTGGGGCCCAGGAGACTCGTCAAGAGCTACCATGTTAAAGAATCCCCAGATGTTTCTGAGGATGAGATAAAGTTCCCATAGAACCCCTCCATTTGGCAAGAGGCTGGGCTCTAACTGATCAAAAATGAAGAAGGTAGCCCTGCTCCCAGACCTGGAAGACCTTAGTCTATGACTCAGAATGGAAAATCCAACCCAGCATGCCAGTCTCAGGAATCCTAAGTAACCCAGCAGCAGAAATAACTCTTGATCAGTTTGTGCTGAGGGAAGATAGACAGAAGCTCTGACACTCACACCCAGGTCTCAGACTTCTGTGACCTTTCTGGAGGAGAAAATGGAGAAATGGCCCCCGGTGCTCTGAATAGTAAAGCCTAATCTAAACTCCAGGTGGACCAGTTTGTGCAGAGGCAGGAAAGGGTTGAGAGACCAAAGGGAAGCACTACAGGTGGCTCCTTCTCTCTATGCCCCTGGCTCACCTTTACTTTATTATCAAACACTTCCTGCCACACCACATAACCTTTGCCATAGGCAGAGACGATGTTCAGCAGTCTGGAGAGTAAAGAAAGGGTCTGGTCAGCTCAAATAGGTTCTAGGCTGTTGGTGCCAGTAGGGGTTCAGGCTGGCTAGGGGCCCATTCCTAATTGGGCAGTGTCTTCCCCAGTTGGGAGCTGACTACTCCAAAGCTGAAAGGATAGAACAAAGTACCCTTTCAGGGGCCCAGAGGGTGGTCAAGCAGGGCCTGGTCCTGGTATGAAAAGAGAGGACCCCATAAGGAGGTAATCCCAAGGGACCTTGCCCACCCTCTTTCCTTCCTCACGTCTGGATGTAGAAGGACTCCAGCTGCTTGAAGTCATTACCAAAGCCTTTCGTCTTCATAAAGGCCTGGATATCCGGGTTGGACCTCCTGAATCCCAAGAGAAAATGGAGATTAATTCTTTCAACAGCCTCAAAAACTTGGCGATTAGTCACCTGGCCTCCCACAACTTCTTTTTTTCACTTGAAAAACTAATCAACTTTGGATCGCAGAGCCCCCAAATACGGCAGGTGTGGCTGAACAAAGCTGTGTGATGGGGGCCATTGACACAGGCTGAGAAAGGATGAGTTTGGACCTGAAGAGCTTTAAATTCAAACTCTCAACAAGAACGCACATTAACTTGTCTCGACTACAGCATGTGGGTTTGAGGTCTTGGTTTGGGGCTCTGGCACACTGGATTCTGGCTTCTCTGTTTAACCCCTTACCCACGCATATTTTGCTTTTCCCTTAAGACTGATTCTTTATTCCAGATTGGTACAAGTGTTGCTGTTACCTGCTGCACTTCCTCCCCCAACAACGTTTATATTTTGCTCACATTTCCTCCTGGAATGTTTTCTCCCTCCTCTACCGCTCAAAAAAGCCAACTATTTCCCCAGATCCAGTTCTAGTGCCCACTTCTCAGAGAAGCCCATCAACCTCTCTTGAGCTAAGTAAATCTGAGGGTTTGAACCTTACAGTTTAATACCTAGTAAACAATTACAAAAAAAAAAACAAAAAAAACAATTGCATATAGTATTCTCAAATTCACCTGTGTCTTCACTCTTCAACCAGACTATTTTAAGTCTTCAAAAGTGGGAATTATTTTTCCCTATCCTGGATTTTCCCAGGACAATTCTGTGCCCATATCTGGTTCTTCCATATGTATCTCAAGGACATGACAGAAGGAAGGGATAGTTTCATATTCACAACCTCGCCAAAATCAGGTAGGGCCTCAATACAGGGGTAAGAGGAAAGACCTAAGACTTGAGCCATCTGGACCGAGACTGTTCTCAGAAGTTAGCCCCTGAGGAGTACCTGAGATAGGTAGCCTCTCAGGAGCTAACCTCTATTCTGAGTGAGCAATTCCACACAGGCAGCAATGGGAAAACCAAAGGGGATCATACCAGCAGGTGAAATCAACCTCATCTCCTCCAAGGTGAAGATAAAAATCTGGGAAGACAGAGCTGACCTCCAAGAAAAATGTGCTCATGAATTCATAGGTAGTATTGAGAATGGGATTCACTGGTCCGAAGGTGCCAGAGGGACGAGACCCAGAGTAGCAAGGAGTCAATAATCCAGGGAAACCTAAGGCGACAAAGAACCCCACATAAGTGTCACAAATACATAGAAACCCCCCCCCCCC